CCCTCTGCCCTATCTAGAGTTCGTCTATTCCTCCCATGGTCCCTCTCCCTGTCCCACTATGAATCAGCCTCCTTATATCAAAGAAAACATTCGGCATTTGATTTTTGGGATTGGCTAACTTCACTTAGCATTGTCTTCTTTAACCCATCCATTTACCTGCAAATGCCATGATTTTATTCTCTTTTACTGCTGAGTAATATTTCATTGTGTATATATGCCACTTTTTTTTATCCATTCATCTATTGAAGGGCATCTAGGTTGGCTCCCCAGTTTAGCTATTGTGAATTGTGTTGCTATAAACATTGATGTGGCTGTGTCCCTGTAGTATGCTGTTTTTAAGTCCTTTGGGTATAAACCGAGGAGAGGGAGAGGGATAGCTGGGTCAAATGGTGGTTCCATTCCCAGATTTCCAAGGAATCTCCATACTGCTTTCCATATTGGCTGCATCAATTTGCAGTCCCACCAGCAATTTACAAGTGTACCCTTTTCCCCACATCCTCGCTGTTGACTACTTTTTATGCAGGAAATTACTTTCTCTTTGAATACTGTCTTGGCTTCCAGAACACCACACCCTTCTGGTTTTCCTGCTACCTCATGGACTACTGCTTTTCAGTTTCCTCTGCTTACTGACTGGTTCAATAATTAGAAATTATTTTCTAATTTCTTGAAGTGGAAGTTTCCCAGTACCCTGTGCTTAGATTTCTTCATTTTTTCCCTTCTGCCCCCATTTTTTTATATGTAGCCAAGCTTTCCTTGAGAACCTCATGTTTCTGTGTGGAAGATAGACTGTTGAGAGTGTGCTCTCAGGATGAAACACAGATATTAGTTATAATGCTACTTCAGTAATGACAGCAGTAGAGGGTGTGGTAAGTGGTTATAGGCCAGATGTATTTTTTTTAAATTGGTGCATAATAATTATACATAATTATGGGATTCATTATGCTGTATTTGAACATGCACATAACCTAATTTGATCAATCTTATTCCCCAGTACCTTCCCTTTCCTAATGCGTTTTTGAAGGTAGATACTACAGGATTTCTGATGGACTGGATATGGACCCTTAGGGGAAAAAGTTATAGATGACATCATTTTTTTTTGGTCTGAACAAATAGATGATGCTATCATTAACTGATGTGGGAAATATTGCAATTGGAGCAGATTTGGTTATGTGTGATGGGTAGATTTGGGGCAGGGATTTATGAGTTGATCTTTGCATAATTTAAGATGAATATTCGCTTCCAAATGTCAATGTTGCTTAGGCAATTTGGACATTGGAGAGTGTCTACTGCATGAGACCATGAGTTCCACTGTGGCAGGGCCTATGTCTTGTTCACTGTTATACTGTCATAGTACCTAGAACATAGTAAGTACTCAAATATTTTAATTGTAGAATTTTTATTATTGACAATCTGGAGTCCTCCTCATCCTTTTGTGGCAATCTATATCTAATAGCATTCATCACATTGATGCAATGATTTGTCTTCTTCACAGCCCATTCTTGAGATTCAACCAATATTAATGTATTACTATGTGCTAGCCACTCTCCTAAGCCCTAGGGTTATGAGACACTATATGAGTCATTAAAGCAGGCTAAGGATGAGAAACTGAAATTCAAGGAAAGTTCATAAAAATAGAGAAGAGGGAGTCAAGTTAAGAGTTATCAAGATTAGAACTCGGTGACAGTCTTACTCTGCAGACTGAGCAAAAAAGGAATTCATAATCTACTATTGTGGGATTCCCGCACACAGGACAGGACACAGGGGCATTCAGCAGGAAGCAGTGTTTGTTAAGTGCTGGCCCCTGCCCAGTGGATGTACATCCAAAGGCTGAGTGAGCCCCAAGCACAGAGGGGTATTGCCTTATATATGCTCTGTTAACCCCCTGGCCCTGTTACATGTTAGCCCCTTTGTCTCCCCTTTGTGGTAACATACATTCTGTTCTGATAGGGTATTTGGTATTATAGAATTGCAACTGTCACATGGCTTTCTCTTTGTTTTGGGAGAGCCTGGACCACAATGCCATTTCCTGATGTCTGATAGGAAGGAGTGTGTTTGGAAATTTTGAATTAAGTTGCATTTTCTTTGGAGCAAGATAGAGTTTCTCCCCAGCTGTTGACTGTACTGTTTGTTGCTCAGGGGAAAGACTGGGCTAGAGAAATGGCTTTGGGAATCACCAATATATCAATAACAATTCAGGTTGGGTACAGATGTACAGTTATTTCTCTTTCCCTGATGAAGAAACCAGGGCTCCGAAATGTCAAGTAACTTAACAGATGTCAGAGAATTCTAATCCTGATTATTATTTTCCACATTCCATTCTTGTGACTTTGACCTTAAAATCTGCATCCTTCCCAAGGGGTCAGACATTTGGCCTGAAAATTATAAAAACACTCAGGGATTTTGTAATGTTTTCCTTGTGCTATATTTTTCACCCTCTGCTCTTTGCTCATGTTTGTCATCTTCCCCTGAAATTATTTTCTGGCCATTTCAGCCAGAAGATTTCTTCCTAAGGGAAGGAAATGACCCAAATCTTTTACTTTGGGGAGCAAGTATAGCCCTGAGCTATGCCGTTCTGCCATGGCTTCCTTAAGAAACTAGGGGTTTCTCTTTTCCTTCCAGGGAACCAATGCCTGCTCCAACCAGGTAACTAGAGAAGGAAAGACAGGGGACACTCTCCTCAAAGTTTAGAGGGAATTTGAGTATGATGGCCACCATGAAGCTTTCCAACTGCTACAAGATGTTTATCAATCACACCTATTGCTCATGGAATCCAAGGTGACTCAGAGTCAAGGGGAAGCATGCAAGAGGCAGAGATGCTAAGTCCCTGATCCTAATTTTAACCACCCATGGGACATTCACAGGCAAAAGTATAAAGTCTAAGTCCTTGTTAAATTCATCTAACCTGTGTTGAATAAAATGGCAGACTAGAAGGCCCCTGGACAGATAACAATATTAAAATCAGCAAAGGTCACTTCTAGGTTTCCAGAGAGGGTGAAGCTGGGTGATTGGATGACTTTGCTTCCTTCTGAGTCTCTTGTTTCTCTGAGGACCTTGTCTGGAAAAAAAAATAAAGCAATTCTAGAGGCAGGCTTCCAGTCATTTAAAGGGACACCAGCAGCTGTTTTTTTTGTTTTTTTTTTTTTTCATTTTTTTTGTCCTCTTGTGAGCTGGAATGGTTGTCTTTGAAAGTATCAGCCTAGCAGATAACAATTCTAAGAGTATCACAGACACTTACCAGATATTTACAATGCTTATGAAATAAGCCTATTTTGATTCAACATTAATGGCAGTGCTCTAACCCCACCAAGTTCATTTGCTCACCACTCCAAGAGGCAAAAACTAGAGGGCAAGTGTTTGGGGCAATTAAAAAAGTTTCCTGAGGAAGCCAATAAGCCAAAGCTCATAGAGGGGTTCAATAAAAATCCCGAGAATGAGTCTGATTTATTGTTTTAAATAATTTGCTGTTTTTTTAAAAAAGTGTTCCAACTGCATGTCCAAGGTTACTGAGGCTACTTTTGGTGGGGTATCACCCACTCAGTGATGGGGTTGTGAGTGAGGGTGGGAGTGCAGTCTGGACTAAATAGCTAGCAGGAAAGAGCTCTATCTCAGTATAGCAAGCTGTACAAGAGGCCTTCTAAACAGGTTTATAGGAGGGGTTTCATTCTATGGGGGAGAATGTGGCTAGGACATAGTTTGATGGGGCTTACCTTTCTGTGTAGCTGTTTACAGACCTCAGCTTCTCAGTTCCATCTTGGATTTCTCCATTTCATTAAAATTTTTAGAGAATTGCACATATTTCATTAATGATTAAACAGATATTTCCCTGAAATAGCAAAATATTGGATATTCCCAGCAAGAGAGGCAAAGGGGCCAGAATTTTGATTTGGTTGTAGAGACTCATGTGTAGCATTAAACGCTTAGATTTTTATGATCACTTTTTATGGCTGGTTAATAGACTGGACACTTTCTAAAAACCTTAAGAGCCTTCTTTTGACTATCAAGATGAATGTTTTTGGTGCTTTCTGAAATGCAATGGGACATAATGAAGAGATGGAAGGAAGGGATGGCAGGAATCAAGGACTGGAGCAATTATACTTACTTAGTACAGTCCTTGGTAGGGGAAAACTACAGGAGTCATCCTCTGAGGGGAAGTTACCATGCAGATCCTGGGAGGGATTTAGTTGATTTCAGCACAATTACTTACCATGAAAGTATACTCAGGTAGTAAGGATGGGAGACTCCAGGTGTAGGTAGTATAGAAATAGGACACAGTACTAGAGATGGATATAAACTGCTGGCAGTAACTTGATAAGCTCAAATATGTTTGGAGAACTGATTCTTTCCCAGATAACTTAAATGCTCATTCCTTCATCACACTAAGGCCAAGGAGACCCCTGCTCAGTATTTACTCCCTCTCTCTACCTGAGAACTCTGGCATTGCCTTTGCCTCCWGGCTCTAAGTTTGTTTCAGTACCAAGCAAATTGAATTTTGTCCCTTATCATGCTCCAAGATCAGGAACATGTCAGCTTTTGTCCCAGGTACACAGACCTCCAACTTCATGCTCCTTCTTCCAGGTTCCCTGAAGGGAGGGGGACAAGCCGCTCTGCTTTTCTACTGGGACCTCATTCCAGGAGGGAGCCATCCCACACTCCTTAGGCAGTGGAATGAGAGATAGGCAACAGGGTTATAGCAAGCTCCCAGAATGGTTTTTCTAGAATGATCTTCCCAATGCCTACAAGGGAGTTTCTATCATTTAGTTTAGATATTTATCACATTAGCTACGTTCTTTGGATAAACACAAAAACAATCCCTCAATAAGGGAACATTCTGGCATTTCTTTAAAATGACTCATCTGAAATGTAGGTTAAAGCTCCTTGCCTACATAGGAAGGTTGTCTTAGCCTCCCTCATGCCTTCTCTTAACAAAGTACAGTGTGATAAGGAGGAWAGAGACAACTCTTTGTTTTGAGATATAGACTATTATTTCAGGTGGTGCTCTGCTACACCTGTTCATCAATGGAAATGAAAATAGCGCTCTTCAAGGAATGCCCAGGTTGGGGAGCCTCGAACACTTCCTCATTGCTTTGGGAGTTCTCTGGAGCAGGATGTTTCAGAGCTGAGGGTTGGGAGCTAGGGGAGGCTCCCTGGATGGGAGGCACCAGCCACTCGAAGACAGTGCCGAGGGCAGTGGCGGGGATGGCCCTGGGTTGAGGCAGAGCCATGCTGTCGGGAGCGTAGCCGGAGCTTACTGTCTGGGGAATGGGGACCATTTAAGGCAGCTGGGCCTACTGGCTTCTCAGGGGAGGCTGAACGGGCCTTGGCATCTAAGAAGGTCAGGCCCACTGGCTTCT